TGAAAGATTCAAGCTTACTCGGGCGGTTAGGATATCACGGCCGATTCTCCGGCAAGCCGATGAACAGTCCGGTTTCAACCTCCGGTGTCCTCCGGTCTCCACGCCCGCCTTTGGCTTTGCCACTTTCAGACAGCATCAATTTCCTCTCTTCGTACTGATTATATATATACAGAGGAAAAATGGTTAATTTAATTCATCTAAAGTGTATAAAAAAAATTTGATCGTTGGTTATATTTACGGGGCAATGACATATATATTGAGGTTATAACAACTAAACAAATGGTTCGATTTCATATTTACAAACCCATTAATGATTATGATTATATAATCTTTTTTTGTGTACATATATGGATATAGGAGCTTACCCTTCGGCACAGCCATGCTCGCTCCTCCAAGAGCTCTCTCTCCTGAATTCCATATATGAACGAAGATCGGTAAAATCACGTATACGAATACGTATATTATCGTATAATAAAACTATAGAATAAGAATAAATAATAAACTTGTTACCTTTGCTTTCAGTTTCTCTAGTTGATCTTCATATAACTGAGCCTACCAAAATTCGGAAAATAATTTATCAATGCATAAGTCACAAAGAAGAAACATTTGGGGATTACCCTTGATGGTAAAATGGTGACAAATGATCTGAATTTATGTTCTTCAACAGAAGAAATGAGTGAGGCTATATGTATATGGATACCAGTCAATTGAATATATCTTTACAGTTTTTAAGGCGATACATAATTACGTCGATAACGTTACATAGTATATATATATATGTCTGAAATGAAATTATTGATAATTATGGAGAGTTAGAGTTATCTATTATGGAATTATATTACTGACAAGATCAATGTTCGTGTCCTGATAGGATTGTTCATAGTTTTCTATCCGGACACTAACACTAAACTTGTAAGGAATATATACCATTATATAACAGATAACTCTAATTCTCCTTAACTTTCAATAGAAATCGATGTACCTTTCTTGATCTTATAATATGAAGGCTTTTCTCGATCTGATCGGCTATTTCCTGAAGTTCTTCCACCGAACACGAATCCAACTCTTGTCCCATTAGCTTCCTTATAACATATTACGCGTTCTAAAAATCAAAACTTAATGCAGAAATTTATAGGAACCGATAGAAATGAGGATGATGGATCAGAGTGTGGCAAACCGTTGATGAACTTCAAGGATCTCAATCTTCTTCGCCATTTCCCCCATTTCTTCCCTCAGCCTCTGTACATGTTCAAACCAATATATATATATATATATATATATATATAAAGAGTGTCTGGATCATTGTGTATATATTTCTGAACTATGGCTTATACCATATATCCAACTCTTATGAGTTATATCTGTGATTTTAATAAGATTATTAAAACGTACTTGAGGATATACAGAAGTAAATCAAGAACATTTTGTAAAGAAAATTGAATGTTGACGGTATGAACCTGCACGTATTGCACTACGTCGGGTGTGCCTTGTACGAACTCTTTCGTATACTTGGCGTATCGTTGGATCGTTTTCTGCATGCTAAAACACATTTTCAAAGAAACTACTTGTTAATACCATACACAAAATATATATATAGTGTATACTCTATATATGTGAATATACATTTTTCAAAAATATTCTCGAAATTAATGTATATACACATATATATATATATATATATATATATATATATATGAACAACCAAAGGCTTATAACACCACCACGTATACGTAAAGAGGCTATGAGTATGAATGGAGGCAACATACATACAAAAATAGCATTTTGTGCTACGAAGCATACATCATTATATTGATGAATATGTTGTGTGATTGTGTTCTCTTATTAAAAAAGAATGAACAAAGTTCATTTTTATGATCGAAAATCGTCGGATCCAAAAAAGAGTTCATTTGAGAAGCAATTAATGGAATGCATAAGAGCAAAAGCAATTGCAGCACAAGAAGATATTTGGTAAATTGACAAGAAAAACGAAATTATGATAATGATTTAAGACAAGATATCTCTAGATCTCCTTTTTTGTTTAAGTAAACCATATAGAATTTCGTGTTCTTTCAAACCGCTCAAGATCAACCCAACCCGAATGGAATCTACTTTGATTTTAATAACATGTGTCTAGTTCCAACGTACTAGGTTCATAGTTCAATAACGCCCCTTTTACAAAACCCTATATCAATTCCTCGAGCTTGAAGAATCACTAAGCAAAAAATAAAATAAAAAATCGCAACCTACCAATCAAATTAGCATGTAATCAGAAACCCTTTTCCCAATTAAAGATACGGCTAATTAATCTACCAATTATGCGATTAGGCTTAATTCACAACATGAACACACCGAAGCACCAAATGAAAATATAGGGGAAAATTTTTAGATGCGGAAAAAAGGGGGGAAAGTAATTTAGATGTTACAAGCTACCAAAATCTTTTACGTGTATCTTTATAAAAAAAATCTGTAGTATGTTGTGGTCAGGTGAGATATAAATGAGAAGGTACATACATACATACATACATACGTACGTACGTACGTACATACATACATACATACATACATACATAGATGGAAAGATGAAAGATTCAAGCTTACTCGGAGCTGGAGAATTCGTACAATCTTCCTTTCTGGGAGAAGATGATGAGGGCAACATCTGCATCACACAGAACTGAGAGTTCATGAGCCTTCTTCAAGAGGCCGTTCCTTCGCTTCGAGAAGGTGACCTGTCTGCTCGTCACGTTCTCGATTCTCTTGATTTCGATCTTCCCTCTCACCATCTCCTGCAATTTTTACCCAGAAAATTCGATATGTAAACCCTAATCGGCCTGAGATTTTCTTGGGGGGAAAAAAGAGTTTCTTTGGAGAGAAAATGCTACTCGGAAGAATTTAAAGTCAACCCCAGAAAATGGAAAGAAAAAAAAAACGAAAACCGGCGATTGAAGCTTAGATCGGTTGATCCAGAACTCGAGATGAAAACTTTCCGGGAAAATGCAGGAAAATCAGGGAAACAGTGAAAAACCCTTTTGCTGGATTTGCCAAGATTAAATCTACCCACCAAGAAAATTCCTTTTAGGGAAA